TGGTATGCAAATGACACACCTGGTATATACGGTATGCAAATGACAGACCTGGTATATATAGAATGCTAATTGTAAAATGTTGTCTGAAAGTTTTATAACATTTTTGTAATATTATTAAAACTGAAACCGTTATGTTTGTTAGAGACAAGAACTAGATTCAAATACTATCATTTCTTTCTTTAGAAGACTGTCTTGAAGATTTATTAACTGGTCTACAACATCAAATCAAGACATCTAATTGGTTGAAAGATAATACCGCAGAGAAGTGGATTAATGAGAATCCAATGCTTTATCAGGAATACAAAGAAGCAGCCAACAAGCATTAATTATATGACACTCCTTATTTGAGCATTGTGTGACATTGTCATTCCTAGAAGATTCTACATTACTTATAAGTCTATTCTCTTAAAAAAATAGACCCACCATAAGGGAATCCATTCTAGTTATAATATAGCATTGTGAACAGTGTGCACAGAAACCATTAGATTCATGTATAAGGCCCAGCAAAAAAACAAACAAACTAGTCAACCTGTTTTCAAAATTTGATACAGCCATGCATTAATTTTAATTAACATTAATAACATTCATTTGGACCTTCCAGCTGATCAACATAAAACAAAACAAATCAACTTCTTACTAGGCTAACTTTCATTCGAAAATCTATTTTTTTGTATTCAAAATATTATACAGAAGAAAATAGCAAATTTTGTATGCGAAAATTTCATCAGCGGTTATCAGTGAGTTCCATCGATGTGTTATACATGTTATGATAATACATACAATACTACCAGTACATTTGGAAGGTATTCATTAAACACACAAATACATGTGCTAGACAGTTTTTTTAACTCAGAGTATGTAACTCAGAATTTGTGTCAGTTGAATGTGCGCTTGAACTACTGGTATGTTTGATTATGCAAATTTAAAATATGCCACTGACTGATGTTGTGTACTAAGGTTATTCACAAAATACTTAAATTTATGTCCTCAAACATTGTATGCTTTAATATAACGAGAACCCATCTAGAAATTGGTGGGTTAATACATATCATAATGTTACTACCGGTACTGTATATATCGCTATAGTTGCTTAGCCCGTCTATAACCTTGTATTTCTTCAGGGTTAAAACCATGCATATTTACATGTAGATGTTTTATACAATATGGGTACTATCATTCAGTTAATTGTTCCATGACTTCCACAGTTAATTAGTTTAAGAAGGAATTATTCAACTGCACTTTATATCAGTTGAATACAATGAAATAGATCCAAAGCTAATACCAACATATAACCGATAACATATTACAGATATTACGTTTAATGTCAAGGACATTTAACGTAAAAAGGGGAGGGAAAATGGATATTGTCTTTATTTGATTCGCTGTAATTTTAGTCCCCATTTGGACAAAGTTTGAAAACGATGGTTTATGGTTTAGTCTCTGTGCGTTCCTGTATCTCAAACATCCCTGGACCAATTCTCTTCATATTTTTCACATAGATAGTACCTTATCTGGAACAAATATATGTGCATTGATTTTGTGTGCTCTGATCAAGGATGGCATACTACTAGTAATTTTAAAATGCAATAACAGTGCAGTCACAGTTAGACTGATTTGTTTCAAACTTGGTATGAAGATTGTACATTTGGGTGTCTGATGTATGTCCAGTGTTTGTATATTTAAATTCAAAATGGCCGACTGGCAGCTATTTTTTCAGTCAGTTTTGTCATCAAATCAAACATCCCTTGGCATTTTTAAAATGACTGGAGTCAGATCTTGCACATTTGTAATCTCATTTGTAAAGTCGTTGAACATCTGAAATTGTAATGGTTTGTTTCATGTAATTAAAACTGTCTATAAATAATTGAACTAATTTACAAAAAGTTCATGCAGCTCAAAAAAATATATATTCCCACACCTGTGTAAATACATTAAATGAAGTAATTGCATATCACATGTCAAATCATTTAATTGAAACAGACATGGTGAATATCATCAATGCATTTTTAATGGAAAATGATTCTTATTTCAGATTAAAAACTTAAAAACATATATTGGCTTTAGATAATCTGCTCATTAAAGCTTGTCAAATTATTGATAATTAAATTTTAAAAAAATAACATACAATCTTTTTACCAATGAACAGCGTTGACTTCACTGTGGCATGAATGAGTCTTGTACTATGAATCACATATCAAAATAATAACAATCAATAAAAGATTTACTAGATATTTCAAATAATTTAATTTTTTTAGTTGATTGAATTAGTGTTTGGGCATAGTTCATCATTGCAGCTTATCTAATTCCATGATTTCTGATCCTCATTCTGTCTCCAGGAAGCCATTTAAAGATGCATCTTCAGGTTCATCTTTGTTTAGCATGTCATAACCTTTATGCTTTGATCTGAATTTACCAAAAACTTTTCTCCTTCTAAAGTTGGCCCAAAGTCTTGATCGAAGTTTTTCCGTTGATTGGCTCGTGTCACTATCCCCAGTAGAAATTGATAAAGAATCAAAGCTGCTGTTGTGCAATAGGCTTGTATTATCTGGCATATCATAGTCTGTGATATCGTCTGGCATATCATAGTTGGTGATATCGTCTGGCATATCATAGTTGGTGATATCGTCTGGCATATCATCAGAAGCCATAGCATCATGATAGTGTAAATGTGGTGAGGACACTGTTTGTAGTGAATTTGCATGAGTACTGACATTGTCACCAGGTGGTCTCAGTAAAAAGTTGTCCAATCTTGTCTGGATATCTTCAGACATATCATTAATACTACAATCAATGGCATCATGATAGTGTAACTGTGGTGATGTTTGTTTTAAATCTTCACAAATATCATCACTATAATAAAAGGAGTCATCGATATAAACTGGTTCAGTCTTTTGTCCAAATTCACCAGGTGGTCTCTGAAAGAATTGTACTAATCTAGTCTGGATGTCTTCAGACATGTCATTTACATCGCAATCCATGGTGTCATGATAGTGTAACTGTGCTGGTGATACTGATTCTGGTAACTCTTCATGAATATCAGAAGTATGATCAAACACGTCACTGATATGAACCAGTTCACTCTGTTGTTTAGGTGATTTCTGAAAGAAGTTTTCCAATCTAGTCAGGATGTCATCAGGCATGTCATTGATGTCAAAATTGATATTGTCAGAAGAGTGCAACTCTGATAATGATAATGCTGTTCTCGTACAATTTTCTCGATTATTGTCATTAGCATCAAAAAAGTCATTTTCATAAATAGGTTCTAACTGTCGTTGATATCTTCCAGGTGGTCTCAGTAAGAAATTGTCCAATCTAGCAAGAATGTCTGCAGGTTTATGCGATCTTGACTCTGCATTGTTGACAGAGTGGCTCCTACCTGCAAAATCCCACAGCATTCTAGAAAATTCTATGATGAAGTTCTTTATAAATACTGCAAATGATGTTAGAGATTTCTTTTCTTCCCTATTACTGCTCGGTCGACCTAGTTCACTTCTGATTTGTGTTAGTGATGAGGGGGCTGAAATTAAAAGAAAACTAATGAAACTAGTAGTAATATTGTGTTGTGTGTATGTGGTGATGTTGTATATCTACAATATCCAATATCTGAATTAAAGCTATATATATATATATATAGGGAATGCAGTCAATGAGAATTAACATTCAAAATGTAGACAATACATAATGGGACCATGGATGAACTGTGTAAAAAAACGTGCATGAAACTTGAATTTCAAGCGTATATTCATACTTGGTATGTGGGTGGACCTCTTCTTCTTAAAAACTACTAGCCAGATTGCTTTGATACTAGATTTATTCATTTTGTGACAATATAAATCTATAACGGAAGATCCAAATTCATTGTTTAATTGACATTTCCACTTTGCTTTTACTTTCTTATGTGAGAGTTTCTTGAGTACATTCTGTCATAATTTTTCCTTCAGTTCATGTTTCAAAATGAAAACTGTTTTCACATTCTGCCGAGTCGATCAATTGCTGATGCGTTTTTAACACTCTTATTGCACCAGGACATTTTTCATCAACCTTGCTGTTAAACTTTGTCATTGTAGTTATGATTTTTTTCTAAGGGTCCTTCGCTGTGTACAAGAAATAGCTATAGGAAGTGTGGGTCAAGAATGCCATTAAAAGGGCCTGCACTATTGAATGACGCCATTTTAGAAGCCTGGTCTCTGTCCTGATCTATTTAGCGATCAACGATCGCAATTTCTTGTCCTTCAAGTGGTGATGGTAAATTAGCCTATTCGATGCAACCACCTGTCACCCCAAAACACTTCCACTGTTTTATTTGGAACAGCTAAAAGCCACTTTGATTGTTCATCTGTCAACTTTGGCCTGTTGTATCGACTGATGATAAACTATATCAATGATGATGATAGATGATGTCTTATATTGTGAAACAAAAACGATTCTACTCGCTGCAAATTAATAATTATGATTGCTCAGGGAGCTTAAGCTATGAGGCCTGTTTTCGTGGAGTTATTTTATAAGTGCGTGATTAGAAGTGCCAATCATGCAGATGTCTGAAAGCCCATTTATGGGGTACGAAACACGGCCACGTGCAGGTCGGGGTTCCTTATGATCCCCTTTCATTTCAGTGGTGGTGGACCATGACAAATACGCACACCACCAGGCTTACTGGCACACATTCCCAAATATTATAGCCTATTTCTCCAAAGAGGGCAGAATTTGGTTCCCATTTCTCAACTTTCTGGCAGAGTAGATCCTGGCTTGGTGTTACCAACACAAAATTTTACTTTTGTACAAAGGCAGCAATGGAATTCATTACGCCATAGCAAACACGCTCGCCCAGACGCGGAGGCAGGTACATGTAGTTAATAATTAGAATAGATTTTAGTTTGTTAGAACTGCGATCAAAATCCCCTTCAATCTATGTAAAAACCCTATAAACACTAAGGCACCTGTGTAGTAAAAATTGGACGGAAGCAGGATGGTCAGTTAGAGGGGTGCCAGAGGCGGCGGCACACAATTTTGCATGGAGGGACGAGATCTGATCACCAACCTTACTATGGGTTACCGGCCATTCTCCCTCTTAAACATTTTGAAATCTAGACCCTCTGATACGTCATTTCCTGCAAATTTTGCTGACACAAAGGATTTCAGCTTGATTTTGGAGGGGCGACGCCCCCAACATTTTTTTTTCTGCCACGAGGCGCACCTTGACGAATCTGTCATTGCCGCATTGCATTGTGGAATATATGTTTGTATAAGTGCATTTCTAATTGAGAAAAAATATCGTACATGTGCCTTTATCGGAAATGTACTTCTATTAGAGAACAATATGGAATATGTAGCTTTATTAGAGACGCAATTATGTGTAAATGTACCATATTTTTCTATATCAGAAGTGTTTTTCTAGTAGAGGCGCATGTTCCATATTTTAGTCAAATTTAGTCGCATTGTAGTAAGGCCTCATTCAGTGATTCGATTATTGGTGATTAAACCATAAAAAACTATCAGGAATGACCAATTTCCTCGTAACCTAAATATCGCATCTCACGTTTTATATAAATGTTGTTACAATGACTAACAAAATTTGAAGAGTAAGTTCACCGGTCATCTTAAAATCATTCACCTCTGCCACGGACAAAGGTAGTAAATATTGAATGTGTATTAAGCAACGCAGAGTCATTTATTCCATGTTAATTTGTTCATACAATTCTCTGACTTTCTTTGCTATCTTCGCCTCACCTTGTCTTTTCTTATCCGATTTTTTTATCTCTTGAATCGCAACAATAATAACATGAATATTCATGGCTAAGACCATTACTCTCACTGCTTCAAAATAGATGGTGACAGCGGCAGTAACAAACTCTTCCAACAGCTCTGGCAGCTGGTCTGGTGGACAGAAAAAAACACATAAACGAAATCGTAATATGTATTTGATTTGAATCCCTCCTCTTGTAATTTGCGTTTTAATGAAATGTGAAAGAAAGACACTACACTTTGCCGATATATTTAGCTTAGATTATCAGCATGTTTTAATTCTTACCAGAATAAATGACACATAGTGTACAGACAAACCCGGTGAATACAACATGTAGGAACAACTCGGGATCTGCTGGAATAATAAAACATGAGACTAGTAAGAGAACAAAACAAAACTCAACACAAATTAACATTTGTTTCGTAGTTGGAAAACAAAGACGTAAATTCAATAGAAGAAACTTATTGCTTTCAGCTCAGAGACCTTTTTGGCGGTCCAATCTTACTGGTTCTCGCCACAAGAAGTTTGTCTGTGTGTCCAGATGAATTCTATCACAACGCATGTTTGAAATGTTAATATGACCACCTGTTACTGTAAGACGCAATGCGAAAATGAACATTTTGATTCTTGTTTTAAGTTGTATCCGAAGAATCGTGTAATTTAACTAATCTGGTGCGATTTGGAACACTAAACTGATTGAGACGAGATTATTAATTGTACATCGTACTGACAAACAATATTCACCCACGTATACGATGATAACAAATCTCGCTGACATAACCACTTGATCTCGCAGCTGAATCGCATGTTTCGGAAATTAGTTTTGCAATAAGGGTTAGACCAATGGGGAAAATGGAGACGAGCAACTGTATATATTATGAAGTTGAATATTTAACATATAAATACCAAGTCCGATGGTTATATCAGGGTTATTCAGGGCACTGACATCGACTGCATAACAAACTTACAAAGGTTACTTAGATAGCGTATATTCGGCGTTTATTGTATTGTCCTGTGGTTTTAATAAAACTATCTAAACGAGCTGACACGTACATAAGACTGATATACACCGTTACTGTTTCCTAAATTCCCGTACTAGACAGCCGACTAGAACGGCTTACTGGTCTGGGAGTAAATTCAAATTAACTTAATGATCTCATTTGCATTATTATTTGATTTTATTCTATATATATGTATGTGGTTATTTATTAATATAGTCAAAAACAATACTTGGCCCAGTCACTGGTAAATAAGTACCTGTTATTTAAGGGACTATCGAGACTAGATAAAATAAAATAAACTGAACTATGAACCGACTTATACATTGTATATTTTAAATATTTTCAATGGGTTAATTTCAATGATTAACTGATAACACTATCTATGTCATGAATGAAATATCCCCCCCCCCACACACACACACACACAAAATACCCTCAGCATATAAGAGGTATTCCTAAGCTTAGGTTGTTGCCCCTTTCTCTGGAAATAATTGCTCACCATTAAATTGCATTGTTCAAAAAGACGCATTATTTAAACCACATTTCATAATACTAGTATTCACTGTAGTGAGGGCAACATACCACTTGTGGACATTTACTACATTAACTTCAGCAATTATATGCTTTTATTAGAAATCATATGTGTTACAAATCCTACTTGAGTAAACGTGATAACAAGCAATGCATTACATCGTAAGGACTGCCACTCTAAACACACAGTATAACATCCACCAATCACGGTCGGATCTGTGCAACAATTAAATGTGTTTTGAATTGACACAGTACACTGCGTAAGACAGTCAACACCACTGTGTAACAGCCAACCCCACTAATATAACCATGACAACAACGTTGTCACGTGCCAGGCAACAGCAACTTGATGTTTGGTTTGCAATATTGTGACCTGTCAGTGGGCTAAACATGCCGGACGTACTTAATACATTCAATGAAAATATTAATGTTAATACTATCTATCGTTTACGTATGTGTATTAGTTTTGTAGCCATATTATGTGTGCAAACACCAGTTAGTGAAAGAATTGCAGTGCTCTTCTAGAGAGTGCAAACTTATTATTGTAGGAAAATTATATTTACTTATGTACATATTATAGGAAGTTTGTCGAATTATCACAACTGGCAGGTAACAGACCTACAAATCAGCATTGGTCAGAACAGTTCCAACTGAAGTTGTAATATCATACACCCGGGATTAAAATACAACGTACAATCTAGCGTTTGGTGTTCACCCGCATTAATCACAAATAATCCTCTGGGGTTAAGTCAGTCTTCATTGTAACCAACATGTATTCACGATAACATCGAATATATTACTCCCATTATAAGATAACACAGATTGGTAAATGCTGACATGACCTTTTCGTGTTCAGAATACCAAGACCACTTACCCGACGCTGGTTTCATAGTGACGCCTCACAGATTACCGTGGCACCTGTAACTTTAAAGCAACGCACCAGTAGTTTCACATTTTGAACTTCCAGTGCTGGTAACAAGATGGACCCTATCGCCACAGACATCGACGTCTATCGCTATGTACCGATTAACTTTTCGTCAATGATTGATATAGTTTATACGCATGCTGGACTTTATGCCAGGTAACATAGACATTTACGACGGGTCCTTGGCATTCCTGATTGGCAACACCTGTGTGCGTAGTACGCTTGGATTCTGATGAAATCAACACCGTCAACCTTTAACCTCCTACTAGGTCTGAAAGCCATTGGACATTCAGTACTTCGCGGTAGATGCGCCGCGTCATACGGTCTCGGGTTTACAGTTCCTGAAAAATCGTATTCAACAGAGTTCTGAAATTGAATTTAAATGCCCTTTTAAATTTAAATAATTTTCGCAAACATCAAAATGCGATTACAGCAATTAAATTTATATTTGATTTGGTGATTGATAAGACACCACGAACTTGTCAAGTGCTGAATAGATTTAGTGCTCCAAATATAATGATTTGGATTATATCATTTTACATGACATAATGGAAATAATAATACATAATAAAGCAACTTGAGATTACTATTACAAGCTGTTCATCAACTACTCACCTTGCAATTGATCGGAGTTATTTTTTTTTATTTTTCAACGTCAGAAAATAATTTCGTTCTCTAATCGAGATTAAAATATGTTGCATGTAATAACAAAATATTGACAGTTTTAGTAAAAATAAAACATAAAATAAAAAGTACACGCCATATGATAATCAGATTTCATTACTCAGATTTTACATGCACAAAGGAGGTATATACATTAAATAGAACACTCATTACTCTTCTTAAATATAACGTGAATATAATTAATATAACTAGTAAGAAAACGAGGACATTATGCGAAATATCAAATCAACCAGTTACGAACATTAGTTACTAGTAATTGCACTGAATCTAAAAAAAAATTGAATTCACATTCTTAAGCAAAAAGAAGTCACAGTAATTAAAAAATATGAAACGTGACATATTCTAACCTGCCATACTATATGTAATAATATCTACGTGTAACTATGATTTCATCAAAGTTTCTTCTGAATACGGAGAACATAAGGTTTATACAGTGTTAGATTATCAATGTCTACAAAGATGATTCAATAGAGAGTTGTTTGCACAATAATTACTAACGTGTGTTTGGGGTGTGTATTTTAAGATGTATGTTGTGTGATTTAATAATTCAGGCACTCCAACAAGAGAACATGTGGCTACATTTGAGTATTTTTGAACATATTTGAATAATTTTGTTTGATAATCCATTTATATATTATGATATGATTTATCGTAAAGTAAAAATGTATTAGTTCAATGATCTTGTTGTAGTTTCGATTTCTTTTCTTTTCTGTATTCAGTAATTTTTAATAAGTATTACTATATAGATACGCTTCCATTTTACTAAAGAAAAACATGATTTGTTGTTTCAAGAAAGACTCAATTCAGATTTAAGGGCGAAAAACATGATTTGTTGTTTCAAGAAAGACTCAATTCAGATTTAAGGCGAACACATGATTTGTTGTTTCA